CGACCGGAAATCGGTTCCAACACTACTCGGAAGAGTATGGGTGTAATTGGGTGTAGTACCCAGCATAATAACTCGGCTCACTGTTCCAAGAAGAGTAGTGCGGGGAGGAATAGTCGTGATTGAACTCCATATCCCTGCACAACAAAACAAAACAACCCAACGTAGCCACGAAAAAGAGAAAACAAACAAACTAAAAACAAATAGACAAAAAGAAAACAAAGAAGCACAAAAGGAAGAACTAAAACTCGAAAAATACAAAATAAAGAGAAACACAGAAAATAAAATCAATACCAAAACCAAATATCCTACTTGCCTTCCCCGGCAACGGCGCTTTGTTGTGTACAAATTATTCTTTTTACCGAGTACCGAATCGAAAGATTCGTTCCCCAGGTCGATCTCACGAGGAAGGCGGTTCGGAATTTAGTTCTGATATTGATAACACATAAAAGCAAAATAAATCCTAAACATACTAATCAAATAAGGGAGTGAATAATTATCAACTAAGAAATAAATAACAATGCAAAAATGTAAATCTACCTAAGAGTATGAATGGAGCGAAGATGGAGAAGCTAGGGAATCGGGATAATTAATTCAAGTTCTAGCAAAGTCGGGCAATTCATTGTTCGGTTCTAGATTGACACACTCGCTTAGTCATCTAGCGGTTCGCTCCCAATAACTCTTCGTAACAAGGGATTGAACATAGACGAACGAGCTCAAGCATACAAAACAGGCCAATGATCCCAGTCCAAATAACTATTCGTAACAAAGGACGAGTCATCGACAAGCTCGTATTTCAATCTAAAACACATAGATTATTCAATTACGAAATCATCTACCTCATGCGAGCCTATTTCTACGACTTCTGCCCTTTCGGTTCTGAAAGCCGCTAAATCAATTAGAAGGTGTTTAAGCAACTAATCATATAGAATTGACAAACCCTAACTCGACAAACTAACATCCAACTGTCACCAATAGCAAGATCGAAATGTCACTTTTCGATTATATCAATCTATCGAATACAAATTCATCAATTCCTTATCAAAACAACGCACATAAGAATGAACAAATCAAGCCCGACAATTACACAATGAACAAGAACAATAAATCCCTTATCCCTAGCACAAAAGATCAGCTACGCATATTGAATTCAACAAAATAAATCAATTCTCCAAATTTAATCATTATTCATGAATTAAACAAGAGAGAAAAGCTTACAATTAATCCAAGTTCGAACGTTGAATTCGTAGTACAAGATTAATCCGAAGAAAAAGAAAACTAATGGAAAATAAAGGTAAAAAGAACAAGGAAAATCAGAGAAGAAGAAGAGAAGGAATGAGAAGAGAGGAGTGGTGTTTTCGGGACCTAGGGTTTTACCCCCGGTCGAGAGATGGGAATTTTTTTTTTTTGTCAAGTCCCGAACATATATTTATAAGAGCAGGTCCCACGGGTGAGAAATCTTGTGCCACGGCGTGGAGAACACGAGTACTGCGGCGTGTTAAGCCATCACGGCGCGAGGAAGAAGGACCGCCGCGGCGCGGAGCTTGCCGCGGCGTGGCGCTGGGAAAGCTGGCCCTCTGTCAGCATCGTGGTGGTGGCGCGGCGAGAGGGAGACAGCCGTGGCGCGGCGCGATGGAGTACCGCGGGTGTGACGAGAGCAGCCGTCGCGGTGTGGTGTACTGTCGCGGTGCGGAGAGGCCGTGCGCCGCGGCGCAGAGCAGTGCAACGGCGCGAAGGGGGAGGTCTGCCGTGGCGCGGGGGTCTCGCGTGGTGCTGCGGGGAGAATAGGTCCCAGGTGTCGCGGCGCGCTGCACGTCACGGCGTGGCGGGTCTTAGCGAGCTGTCTGTCCATCTCGGGGCGGCTGCGCGGCGCGGGCCTGGGACCGTGGCTTTGGTGCACGCTTCGTGTCTCAGACTCGGTTGGACTCATTTCAACATGGAATTAAATTCCGTTTTCTTCTGCTCTATGCCAACGAAATTCTCTTTTTAATGATATCCTCCCGGTCTATTTATCGTGAACGAAAAATCTTCTCGAGACCTATAGCCTGCACACCAAAAACGAAGAAAAACCGAAAAAATACACGAGAAACACAAAGAAAATCGAAATAGAGCGAAACACACAATAAACGACAAAATGAACCTAAAACCAGCTAAACGACTCAAAATGGGGGAAAAAGAATGAGAAAATAATAAGGAAAAACGTAACAAAAATGGGACAAACAATGATGCACGTGAATTGGCGGGCGAGTGCGCAAAGGCGCGGGGCGCAGCTGGGAACGCGATAGGCGAGCAGGGCGTTGGAGCGTCGGGCGACATGCGCAGCGAGTAGGCTAGGCATGGAGGTGTCGGCTGGGCGACGAGCGTGCGAGACACCCGCGCGGGTTGGGGTCGGCGAGCGAGAAGTGCACACGGTAGGCGCCGCGTGTGAGGCGCGCGCGCATTACCGCGCGCAATGAGGAGTAGCCAACGGAAGGGCGGCGCGCGCGACACGGGCGGCTAGGGTTCGAACGCGCGCGACACATGAGGCGGCTAGGGGATTTCGGCCGACATGGAGTGCAGGCAAGGGATTTGGAGATCAAGACTTACTAGTTAATTAGGATTCTACTTTCCTTGTTGCTTTAAGATTTCTAGTAGTGTTAGGATTTAATACTTTATTGCTTTAATTAGGGATCTTGTTAAACTAAAAGTAGGATAAATTAGGATCTATAAATAGGGGTCTTCCCTCATTGTTTTTCATATGTCGAGTGGTTAATAGAAAAGGAACATTTCGTTCATTCGTGTGTTTAAGCAAGGCCGTCAGTGCATGTTTATCATACAACCGTGTCTAAAAGAAGGCCCTGAGAGCGTCTTTAGTCACAACCTATCGTGTTTAGTCGAAAGCCCTTAGTGCGCGATTATTCACAACCATAGGCAAGAATCACAATCCCTTATCATCCAGGCGGGACGCCTCGACGAAGATCTCCACAACCACCGTCCGACGACGAAGACGGCAAGGATACCATCTCGGAGGTGAATCCCTTCGGCGAGTGGCAACCTCTGCACGTCGAGGCTGACCCCTTCGCTGCATACGGCGACCGTGACATGTGGCGACAGGGCCTGGTCTTCGCGGACGGCGACGATCAACGTGACGAAAGAGGCAAGAGCGAGGAGGCTGCCTTCTTCGGCGGATATCGTGCCCGACGCGATCTGATACTTGAACATGATGGTGCCGGCTTGGCGGGGTTCGACTGGCAGCGGTACGGTTGGGATTTTGGGAACACTTTTTGGGCTTGTCAAGGACCCAAAGACTTTGGGCCTATGCAGAGGGAATTTGATTGCGAATATGGTCGATGGGAGGGCCTGTTTCGCGTTGACATTCCCGAAATTGATGGAAAGCAAGTTGATAGGCCATTGTACGACGGTCCGCTGATCTTTGATGAAGAGCCTCTGGTGACGGAGAACAATATTTGCGGGGAGATGGGAATTGATGAGAATGAAGTTGTATGCATGGATGGAGATGGTTTCAAAATTCGTAGTGGATCAATATTAATTGATGTATATTCAGACATTGAGACATCTATTGCTTGTGATTCATGTGATATGTGGTATCACGTTTGATGTGTGGGAAATGTTCCTAAAGGCAGATGTGTTGGCTATTGGTTGTGCCCGAGAGTCTCAGTATCTGTTGGTGATGATGGTGAGGCGGTTGTAGTCATATCCTTGTTTGACGAAAATCAAGAGTGTGTTGCATTGGTTGGGGGGACGTTCAACTTTCGTGTTTGACCGGGGAAAATGACGGGGGTTTTCTACCATGAATTCAACACCACACGACGGCCACGAGAGTGCATCGACTTTGAGGACGAAGCCTTCTAAACCGAGGAAGAATGGTGTAGATTATTATTATTATTATTATTATTATTATTATTATTATTATTATTATTATTATTATTATTATTATTATTATTATTATTATTTAGTGGTTTGGTGGACAAGTTAATGTTTAGGATTAGGGGTCTTATATAAAGGACTCCCTCTAGTTTATTTCCTTGGTCGTTTATGAATAAAATATGAATTATATAGTGTTTAGATGTTCTTGAGATTGAGATCTTATTAATATCGTCTCACTCGCAAACTTCCCTACATCACTCAATCAATCAGATCTCGTATCCAAACGTGCAGTACGATAAATTCAACCAAAATTGTCTACATTTCCTAGAAAGTTATATAAAAGAATTTGTGGATTGAAAGTGCGTAAATATAAAGTGGAGATGAGGGGTAGGTAAAGACGTCGGAGCAAGATAGCTGGAGATAAATTATTAAATTAGCAATATAATTTCAAGTTTTATTTTTTAGACCAAGATGTTCAAGAAATAATTATGACCATTTTTATATTTTATAAATCAAAAAAATATTGACCATAATATTTTATTAATCGCTTTTTAGTGATACTAATTATTACTCTGTGACATTTCTATATGACCTCAAGAAAACATGTAATGGCATATGGTGTCAGCTTTTTCTTGTGTTATAAAGTATTAAAGGCAGTGTACTAAAAATAGGCCTCCAATTTGAATAAATCTGCAGAAAAAATTGGCCAAAAAGGTGCCTAGGCGCTCTTAGGCGGGCTTGGCCGTCTCGGCAAAAATTTTTTATTCTTTTTATTAAAATTCTCATTACATTATTTTGTTATTATGTTTCTTTTATAATATATTATTATTATTTGGAATTAAATGTATTGATTTATTACAAGTTGAGATAATTTTATTAGGTAATGAAAATAAATACAAAATAAGGTATATAATCTTCTAGGCCCCGCCTACGCGCTCGCGCTAGGCGCTAGAACACTGATTAAAAGTTTTCAATTTGAGATGGTCTAATGAAAAGACAATAGCAGAAACGACTGACATTTTTTTCTAAAAACTGTCAATTAGGCTTCACATAAGAGATTGAATGATGCATAATGTATGTCTCACTTGTCTAAAAGCATAAATGACAATGTAAGCTAAATAATGGGTTTATATAAGTCATAATGATTTATATTCCTCGATGAGACGAGAAGCATGCAGTCGTGACGTAGGTACCGTAGTGCACCCAAGACTCTGCAGATATGCAACCTGTTCATTGACAAGAGGAAAAATAAAATTGATACTTCATATGCAAGTTTGAAAGAAACACTTTGGGTAATTTCACAAACATTTATTAGACTCTACGAATGACAATAAAGGATTATTAACAAAAACTACTCATGGTAATTTATCAAGTTACAATCATATATATATATATATATATATATATATATATCAAATATGCAAATATTGGTTAGATCTGTGTTTAGGCGAGTACTACGCCCCAACTTCACAGCTTATGTAAACTGAAAGAATTTGATTGTTAATTATGATTTTAAAAGATGGAGTTTTTTATGTGAAACTTTAAAGGTGCTTCTAGCAATTAGAAGGAAAAGATGAAGTTAGTAGTACCCCTTTTGGTAATTTATCAACATTCTAACATAACATACTGTCTATTTGAAACTTTGATAGTCAACTGTTTGTACTTTAAAGTAATGGATTTTTGTTCAACTTCACCTTGTAACAAAATTCAAACATCAATTGTGAGCGTAGCTGAAGTCAAGAAGTTGCTTGCAGTAAACTAACTACAAGCTAGCTAAAACATAAATAGGTACACAATGCAATGCAAAGAGAGAGAGAGAGAGAGAGAGAGAGAGAGAGAGAGAGAGAGAGAGAGAGAGAGAGAGAGAGAGAGAGAGAGTGAGAGAGGTAGAGGTTACAGATCACCTGTTTGGGAGTTGGTTCTGATGAACTCATTGCACTTTCAATTCTTAATTTCTGGAAATGTTCCTGAAAAATGGGAAGATGTAAATGAACTATACAGACTAACACTAGAAAATCCATAAGCACGAATGGAAAGGACGACATATTTCATAAAACATAAAATTAAAGTATAACTATAAGAAAAGATATAATCATTAAACCCATCCCTGTCACATTAGTTACAAAATAAATTAATGTAAACTACGCTTTACCTGTTTCTCTCTCATTAAATGAGCTCGCTTTTCTGCTGGAATTTGCTCCCATTTCAGAACCTTATTACCAAAATAAATAAAGTAGATTATCATTGTGGCATGTATAGTTATTTCTCCATCATAATGTGGAAGTTGTTGATTGTTGCATTGCATTGCGTCATTCAGTCTATTTAGTTACAGAAACTCACAGATACTGCAAAATGGTAAGCCTCCTCGGATGATAAACAAGTCTTCAACTCGCGCAAAACATCCTGTCATACAACAAAAGAGTCAAGCCAACTCCATAGTAACAATTAACTTTGGCTTATTTAACTGCATATACGCGGTAATAGCATAACAGTCACCCAAACCTCTTAGGTAATAACTAAAGTTTGGAAGACATTAAGAAAAGTTCCAATCTCAGCATTAAACTGAAACGCTGCTAAATCTTAGATCGTACTTTAATTTTCATATTCTTCATTTGGTATCAGTTTTAGTGGAGAGTCCTAAAGATGATGAGAAATTTAACATTAATGCGAAGATAAAAATATATAACTGATGTTTCCAAATATCTATATTTCCTTTCTCAGTCCTTGCCTTTTCCTAAGAGGTCCAAACAAGTTGAGCACTAAGCAGTTACAAAAGAGATGTGAAAATTAAAGCGGACCCAAAAGGAAATAATTGGGAACATGGACTGCTACAAGTCTACAACCTTGTGTGTACATTTTTTGGCCCGCAGACGCTCATCTATGACAAAAGCAACCTGTAATGAAATGAATAAGAGATTATTGAGAAGCATATTGGAAGCCAATAGGTTTCCATATTCCATCAAAATAATTCATGAAGAAAAAATCTCATCCGAAGCAACTCGATACATGCTCCAGCATAAAACTAAAGTTTAGATCCACTACTTAAATTTCCGTGTAGTCCAGCTGTGGCAAACAATGAGTATAACCTCACTCAGTATCTTATTATAAGATTCAAATAAGAGCACATCATAGTTACTAAAGAAAAAAAAAAAAAAGTAAAAAAAAATTGGCCAACTTTACTTCCAAAAGCACATTTGGAGAATGATGCAAGGAACCCTTCACAAACTTTGTGATTTGGATGCTCGAGATGGAGGAAATTATGAGTCACCTTGTTAAGTAATCTCTTTGGGTCATGAAATGCAGGTTTTTTGGCCCATTGATGGAATAGATGAGAAACAACAGCTCGGTCCTCTGAACAAAACCTGTAAAGTTTGGAATTTGAAGGGAAAATCCAGGAAGCATAATCTAGAAGTCTAATAGTCAATATTTCTAAATTCCGCTCATCAGAGCCACCTACCCAAATATACCTTTTCAAAAAGTTGCTAGAGTTGCAGTTTTCAGGTTCACTAGATTTTTTGGATGTTTCACTGCATGCATTGTCAATGGCCGCTAGCAGCAATTCATTATTTTCAGCAGATTCTGTTCTGAAACTGACACAATCCTGGAGATCTTCTTGCTCAGTTGGTGGGTAAATTTTATCTGTACTCACCGAGATCAGATCGCCCTACACAAAATTCGGTAGATTTGATCTTGCGCAACATTGAGAAAAGGATTAATGAACTTAACAATAAGTAAACTAGTGCATCATCCCCTTCTTAAGATAACTACAAATACAAAAATATCAAGTTATCACTGCAAGTACGATATACCCCCCCTAAGGGTTTGTTTTATCTTTCAAATTCCCAACAGTATGTGCAAGAATGTAAAAATATGAAACATATGGCATGATGCGTGTTTTTATTGCAAATGCTAACTGGTTCTTTCGTAATTAAACTAAACCTCAATGGGATTTTTTGCTGTCAGACTTCTTTCCTTTTTGAAACACTGAAGAAAAGGCTCACCTCAGTCTCCACTAGGTGATGTGGAATTTCTCGAAGGAATCGTGATGGTTGAAGAACCTGAAATAAAGTGTGCTGAAGCTTAGACAAAGATGAAAAGGGGAAATGGAGAAGTTAAAAGTACTTGGTCGATCCCACCTGCCAATTAGAATCTGCAAGTACATAAAGCACGAAGAGTTTTTTGCGCGCACGAGTCATCGCAACATATAACAAGCGCCTCTCTTCCTAAAAATGGTAAAGCGAGTTATATATATACATATATATAATGTCCCCTTATTTCTGTAGAAGGGTTTATCCAAACATTTGCTTACCTCAATTGAGGTACCATTCTCATTAAGAAAACCGTTGTGTTCATGCAACAGTGGAATCTCAGTTTCGTTTGCCTGAGTAGCAAAAAATTAGATCCATAATATACAATGTAAAGAATTACTAAAAAGAAAAAATTAAAGTTTAAACAGCAGAATTTGCAGCAAACTGTTTACATCTTTTTCACATTCGGACAGTACTGACATGAAATAGCCACAACTGAACTATAGTTAAGACAAGATTCGAGCTGGTACCTTCACAATGAAAACTGTGTCCCACTCTAAACCTTTTGACTGCAAAATATACATAAATGGAACAATTGACGATGCTGGTATAATAAATTTTGAAGTAAAAAAATCATCAAGCTCAAAAATAATATTTTATGGCAATCAGAGAACAGAACCTGATGGATTGTAGTAAGAGTAACTGAGTTTTGATTGTCATGCTTTCTTGACCGAAAATTTTCTCTTTCCCGTTCAGAAATATAGTCAATAAATGCCTGAAGTGCAGTCATGCAACCTTTCTCTTGCATCACACTTTCAGTGCCTGATTTCTGAACGTTGTGTACGGTTATCAGGAACGAGGAAACATCATCCAATAGATACTGCAATACCTGCAATGTGGGTAACAAAATTACAACTTTACATAAAGTATCCTTCCATACTAGCAGAGTTATGTTTGCCATTACAGTAAAATTAGAACACACAAATTAATCCTAGTTTCAAGCATCATTAAGAAAGAAAATGGCGGAAGAAAGTCATCCAAACTTACAGGACGTAGATCATTATCTTCATTCAGAAGCTTTCCACCATCAACATCAAGAACTGCTCGTTGTTCAAGAAGATATTTCTACATTTAACATGGATCAGTAGCACATAATTCAATATATAAATCAAGAACCAAGATAGGACAAATGTAGTTAAAATTTTGGAGGAAGTAATTGCTTCGCAGAGCATCCTCAAGCAGGACAAATGCGATAGGATCAAGAACCAAGAGAGAGAGGTGAAAAATCGATGTACAAACAAAAGAGAAGAAAAAAAGAGCACCATGAGCAAATTTACCATACTATGCAAAGTATATTTAAGATATAATAACTAAGATTAGCAACATAGTATAGTACTCATAAAATAATTCGAAGATGAAGAGATGCACAAGCATCGTAGTATCACTAGGACAGTAGCAAACATCAACCATATTTTTCACTATTGGAAGAGAAAAAATGTTTTAGCATCAAGAATAGTGGAAGAGCTCTAAAAAACACAAATGTAAAGACCATAAATATACTTCTTTGGTGGTTTTTCTGTGCTGTGAATGTGACATGCATTATATGAATAGTGGGAGAATGATCCATGAGATTATTCTAGTGAATCAATATTCAATATTGAGACAAATTTCAAACTTTGCTGAGATTGCCACTTTCTCTAACTATTGTATAATAAGAATAAGATATTCTGCATGTAGTAGGGGATTTTTCTCTCTTTTTCATGATAAAATTGAAAACTTTTATTTTTGCCAGTTTAGTTTCATTTGCATTACATGTTAAGATATATAAAAATACACACACCCACACACACACACAGATACTTATGTTTAGATAAAAATAAGTATAGAATTTATTTCTTTATTCATAGGATTAAGTTAAAAATTAGTTAAAGTAGCTATTTTCTTATTTCATCCGGATCTTTTGGGAACATAGATTCTTTTTTTTTTCCTTATTGTGGTTTAAAATTGATTCAATATCCTTTTCTTTTATATATATATATATATATATATATATATATATATGTATATATATATAGCATGTGGTTCAAATGAGAACCAAATCTTAGTGTGAGAACCGTGAGAACTGCTATTTTTAATTGTGCTTAGTGCTATGATTGATTGTGTTTGGTGCTATTTTTAACCCGGATGAATTTTATTGATAATAGCAACACAATTTATATTAACATTTGTGAAAATGATAGCATCATCTAATATTAAAAATAGCATCATGTACAATTAAAAATAGCATGAAATATAGTTCTCACGGTTCTCACACCAGCACTGATTTTTATTTGAACCAGCCCCGATATATATATATATATATATATATATATATATATATATAAAGAAATCACTAGTTCATGTTTTTAGATAGTGTTCAAATTTGATTTCAATATCATTATTACAAATTTTCAAATACCTAATTGTGAGCCTTCACTTTTATCATACTTCCTAAATTCTTTTGGTAATTTTGTAATGTCTATATCATCTTACCATTTTTATTTTTATTTTTTTTCCTTTTTTCCGCTTTCAACTTTTCTTAACTAGTGCGTAATTTGGAGAATATTATAAAAGAGTTATAATATTAGAGAATTTGTCAAATCATAAAATGTTCGTAATGAAAAGTTTATATATTATTAAAATTTTCTTGTATACAACATTATTAGTTTGATAATTAACAACTCGTCGTCCCCACAAAATAATACTTTCAACCACTTTCTAGTACTTCCAAACAAAACAACAACATATAATTGCAAGCGAAGCGATAAATCTTCTTTCATTGGTCGTGACTAAAAATCGATTTCTTTATGAGAAGGTCAACATGCGATAAAGGCATACGAAACCATAAGTTGGAACTACTACCGCGGGAACTTAAATGGAACTCTAAGATAGAAGCATTTACTTATGTCTGATAATTTACTTCGCGGTTCGACAAATGAGCCGTTAGTTTGTCATTTTAATATCGATTTTACTTGATTAGCAGAATTAATATTTACTAATATTTTTATTTTTTTATCAGTAAATTCTTAAATCCATGAGAGATAATTACGTGGTTAATACATTTTATTATATATACATTTATATTTTATTGTTTGAATAACTTGAGACTAATTCTTATTTTAAATAATTGTTGAATAGTAAATTTTATTTCATTCTATATGTGTAATTAAATAATAGACTTAATAATACTTTTAAAAAATACATTTTTTTTATTTATGCATACGATATGAGTGTCGAGTCAAAGCTTGTAAAACAAAGGTTAATTTATTATTATAAATACAAAATGAATAATATACAAAAAAGTTTTCATGTTTTTAATAAAGCGATGGAATTGATACTTAATAAGAAAAAACATCAATGATATGAAAACTAAAAAGGAAATATTTCAATTTCATATATACATATATATATATATATACATATACACTTCCAATTATCATATCAGTGATTAGCATATAACTATATCTGTTAATTTATATTTTACAAATCAAATAAAATTCTAGATCAAGGAGAAATATAATTATTGAATGTAAGTTTTTGCTAAACTTTAATTTCAATTTATTGATATTATATACTTAAAAATATAGATTAGGTTGAAATAAAGTAATTAATTGAAAAGGTTTTAAAAGTTTAATCATTAAATTTACATCAATTATTGATTTCATGTTACCTACAATAAAAATAAAGTCTTACAACGGATGGTCAAAAAAATTACTAAGAGGATACAAAAAAAAAAAAAATGCAATATATATATATATATACATATATAAAAATCAAATTATTAAACATTTTTTATTATTAAATCATTTTGGGGTTTCCGTAATATATGTTAGTGTAAAATTGGAAAAGAAAAGGTCATAAGATAAACAAATGGTAAAAAATATGATTAACATTGTAAAGTGGAAAAAAATTAGGAATGTGTTAACAATGAAGACTCGTGCATTGATTTTACTTATAAACTTTCAAAGAAATCTGGAATATTTGATTCTCACTATTTTCATGTAGACATCCATTGAAAAACTCATAAAAAGGTACACTTAAAAAAATCCAGCTAAGATTTGAATCCAAAATTACCTACCTGCGTTTTAGGTAATTAAAAAAAAAAAAAATTAAAAAGTTGCAATCATTAGACTGTATTAAATGTTGGCGGTTTTTTTTCTACTATTTTTAATAAATAGGTTGTCTCTTTATATATGTATAAATATAGATATAGATATGTTGAAAATCCTTTATCATATATTTGTGTTTATCTTTTAGTTGAAATATTTATAAAGTTTGAAAAACTTGGACACCTTTATTTAAACTATGTAATTACATTCATCAATTAATAAATCCATTAAATTGTTTATTTCTTAAAAAATCTAAGCTTGAACCATTAAAAATTAAAATATAAATTGTTTGGACAAATTCAATAAAAACTCTATAGCAAAAAAATGGATGGACATTTCCTTAATAAAGTAATGTATTTTGTTGAATCGCACGATTTATATACCATATTGAAAATATTATGCTTTGATTTCTTTAATAGTAAAATAGATACCAACGCACCTATGAATTCATTTATATCTATATCAATCTATTAATATAAAAAGGGACTAAAGATTTACTTTAAATATTGAGAAAAAAATGCAGCCTAAAATTTTTATTTTACAAAATATAGGAATTCTAAAATATTTTAAATTTTTTCATCTTTAAAACATGATAAATAAATTTCAAACATAATTCTAAATTCAAAATCAGATAATAGTTATAAATTTAAAATCTGATAATAAAATTTGCAGCACATCTATTGTATGTATTTAGAAAGGAAATAATAAATATAATGTACACCATATACGTAAATATGTATGACATTTTTTAAAATAAAAAAAAAAAAAAAAAAAAAA